AAAAAAAAAAAAAAAAAAAAAAAAAAAACGAAAGGGTCAAAAGTAATAGATACACGATACGCATTAACTTTTATAGAAGTAAATAATGCACGGTGAGAAAACAAAAATTGATAATAATATAAAAAATTAATATATTAGCTACCTAACAAGCTTTAAGCGGCTTTCCGCATAGACAGTCATTGTACTCAAACGATGACGCTTCCAGGCGGTTAAACGGCGCGCCCGCCGGAATTGGCCCGCAGAGGTGGTTATGGCTGACGTCAAGGTGGCCGATGTATGACGCCGACGACGCTGACACCGGAATTCTCCCCCTCAATTTATTGTGCGACAGATCAATCACAGTGAAATACGACCTCGGCCCGAACGCATCCGGGATGTAGCCCTCAATCGCGTTCCGGCTTAGATTCAGTATGCTGATGCTGGAGCTAATCAGCAACGACGGGATCTGGCCGGAGAATAGATTCCCGTCGAGATTCAGGGTCGCGAGCACCGCCATTTTCCCCAGCGAGGCCGGGATCGGGCCGGAGAGCCGGTTCAGCGAGAGGTCCAGATCGGATAATCGGTAGATGTAGGAGACCGACTCGGGGATTGGGCCGGTCAGCCGGTTTTTGCTGAGCAGGGCCCGGCTCATCATCCTCAGCTTCCCGAAATCTCTTGGGATCCCGCCGGAGATCCGGTTTCCCCGGAGGTCGAGATGCATCAGCGACGAGAGGCCGGTGATCGACCGTGGGATTACGCCGGAGATCTGGTTGTCCGCCAGGTTGAGTACGCTGAGCCGGCCGAGCCGGCCGATGTCAGCCGGGATGGGGCCGGTGAGCCGGTTCCCGACAAGGTCGAGGATCCGGAGGAAGGGGAGAGAGGAGGGGACGCAGGGGGGGATGGGGCCGGAGATGCCCTTCCAGTCGGCGACGGTGAGGCTGGAGAGGCGGTCGAGGTGGCAGACGGCGGGGGAGATGGTGCCGGTCATGTAGCCGGTGCGGCGGGCCTTCTGGAAGATGGGGTCCTCGGACTCGCCGCGGAGGTTGATGTCGGCGACGCGGCGGGTTTCCTGGTCGCAGCTGACGCCGTACCAGCGGTTGCAGCAGTCGGGCCCCTTCCAGGAGTCGAAGATGCCGAGGTAGGGCTCGTGGAGGGCTGCCCGGAAGGCCAGGAGGGCGGCCCGGTCGGACGGCGGGCAGGCGTCGGAGGTTAGGGTTAGAGATAGGAGTAGTAAGACGGCGGAGAGTAGTGTGCAGAGGTGGTGGACGGTGGCCATTGTTAGAGTAATGATGAATAAATCAGTTTTCTCTCTCTGGAAATCAGTTGCTGAGTGTGGCAGAGTTTTGCATGTGGGCTGTGTTTATTTTTTTTTGGCTGAAATGTCATGCAGGCTAGTCTATATATATTATTTACACACACAACACAAGCTGTGTGGTGAGGGTAGTTGAATGACAATTATGCCCCCCACCCCACGTGTGCTGTGTGAATAACGGTGTGCAGGTCAACGTGGGATGTGAAATTTGAAAGAGTATTATTGATAGCTTCGATTTTGGAAGAAAA